TTCCATCGGCCCAACTCATATCTAGAGCCTTGCTCCTACCTCTCTAGGTTTTAGACAGAGCCTCACATGTCACGGCCACTCCTTTGAATCTCTTACTTGCCACTGGGAGGCCAACATTCCCACCACATCATTCGGTGGCCTCAGTCCCTCAGCCAATTCATAGCTAGAGCCTCTCAGAGCCACTTGGCAATTAGTGTAGGGCCTTACCTTTCCCTCATTTAGATAATTTTTTTGCCATTCTGCACTATGCAAGCCGCCAGTTGTCATACTATCACCTACATGACTGTCACATTTGCTCTACATGTAGATGTTGCACACCTCAGAACTAGTAAGATATTTTAATCCAGGCTCCCCAGCCAAACCCTTCACCCCACCTAGAACATGCACTCCAGCCATAACCCAGGATACCCCAGCCCCAGTTTCTGGCAAGCTTGTACCATTCCACATTTACTGCCGAGCTCTGACATAAAGGCATGCCATTCCCTTCTTGGCTCGGAAAACTGTGCTGTATAGACTCCGGTTTCTAGCTCTGGGCTCCCCTACCTTGTGTCAGCACCCAAGCTGGAAACACAGACAGCATGATGGGATGTAGGCCATGATAGCTCCCATGCTTTCATCCTTATGAACAACTGTTGACACTAGTGATGTTTAGAATATCCTGAATTTGGACGTCTTACCCTCCCATGTAGTACCCTACATCATGTTCCTTACTTCCATTTTTGACAACCTCTTTATTTGCGGGTGAACCTGCCATATTAGCCTAATTAATGGAATTCCACTGCTCAATTTTATTATCGGCTACTGGTTCTTTAAAGTTCTGAGCATTAGGCCATGGTATTTGGCCTATCTTAGGGTCCACAGTAGCAGCCTGACTAGGAAATGCCATTTTCCTCATTTTCAAGTTGCTCCCAGTGCATCGGTCCCAGTGGAATTTGCACAATATTTAGTGAACTGAGCATTCTACTTTGCCAGCCGTCTTACGTTTGGAGCGGAGAAATGCCCAAACTATTTAATATAGTTGCATAATTTCTCTCTAGACTCCTCTTGTACGTCGGTACTGTCCCTCAGTAATACATTACGGAACCGAATGCCATACTCTGAAGCAGATGTGTCTTTTGTATTTGGTACATCCTTTGGAACTCTGCTGTCTCGATCAACCTTTGGTCCCTACATCAATTTTTTTCTGGAAATACATTAGACTTCATTTCATTGCAGTACAGCGTATTAAGGAAAGGGAAAATCCTTTCTGGGCAACGATGCCTGTTTCCTATATGGATCTCCAGTCTCTCCCTGGTCCTCTGAACTTTACCATGCACCTTACACAAGGGATCTCATTAATTTACCATCAACTCAACCTGCTCCCAGGTTCACCTGTCAACAATAGCGCTGTTACATTCGACACATGCTTTGGCAGTCCTGTTCATATCGCTAAACTTTCTATCCTATCAGAATAGGGAAACCATGTTCACTCCACCAATGTCGCTCATTTCTGGACTAATACAGCTGCCTACACTGGATGGCAGCCAATTTCATAGTTAACTGGGTCCATGACACATTTCCCATAGTGACACAGAACCTACCCTCTTTTAGTAAATCAGCAGCATGGGAATTATTACCGGTCAGTCCCCCTCACTAATAATAAGGTTGATTAAGAAGAGACGTGTCTGGCAACACCACAGAAACTCTACTTTGTTCACATACCCATACCAGGCCGTCACATTATAGCATCCAAAGAGGTGACTCAATAACAATTTTTCGTATTCCAAACTCTCCCCGTGGCGGCCAAACGACATACCAAACCCCTACATTCCAGGATTTAATTGCTGGCATTTGTAACATTCTCTGCCACTGCCACCTGTTCATATGCTGGGCTCTGGCCATTTTCAATTAACTCACTTCCGCATATCATCATCAAACCATACTCATTCGATTCCATGGCGGCGTTCACATATTTTTTGCCACCTTAACCTTTAACTAGCTCACAACATATTTAGTTACTCGAATTCAACCGTTAACATTTTCAGGTCATTCTAAAAGAATACGCGCTGCTCCTACTACCGCTAGTAACATGCCAGTACATATAATCTAATTGCTGGGACAGTAGAGTCATCTGCATATGCCAGATACATTGCTCAACCTGAGAGGGAATTGAGACATGCATTTAAGTATTGGTTATGTAATGTCAACATGTATTCAATGCTACACTGTTACACTTTTTGCCCTCTTTTACAGGCCTAACCGAACATCGGTTCTGGCACACCACAACCGACTTACACATCATTATTATACCTCGGCTTATTGTATACGACCACAAATGAGAAGGCTGAGCCGTTAGGTGAAGCCTGTAATGGTGGGAGGAGCTATCCAGCCTATAAATACACAGATCTCTTCTTCCTCTGGGCTGAGACTGCCTGGTTCAACCCACCCACCACTCCCTTTATTAAGCCATTCATCTTGGTGGGCCTTCTTTTACAGGGCTACCCTTAATGTCGGTACTGGCACACCACAACCAACTTTGTAACCGCAGCTGGTTCTCCTATTTACCGCTATAATGTTTTAAAGCATAGAACTTAGCTGGGCTAACGATACAGATCGTAGCCATAATTCTATATAGTCAGTAAGAGATCCTCTATTTAAGATATATAAATAATTGAGAATACAATATAAAATAAGTATTGTCTTGGAAGCAATAAAGTTTTGTCTTTTAGATATTTTATTAAATGAAAATATAAATATAGACATATAAAATCCATTACAATAATTTATAGCAGAGTTTATAAGATTAAACTATATGCTTGCAATATCATTGCAAGCGGGTGGGGGCTTGGGAGGGGGGGACCTTTCGCGGGTGGGGGCTTGGGAGGGGGGGACCTTTTTTTTTTTTTTTTTAACAGTGAGCAGGCTGCTCACTGTTTAATAGATATGCCCCTACTCGCAGTATAGTGAGTAGGGGCATAATTTACTAATACTAAGTAATCTTTACTTAGTATTAGTAAATTTGGCTGAAAGACCACTTTAGGTCTTTCAACCTTTTAGTAGATAACTCCCTAATACCGTGGGAATTAGGGAGTTATCTACTTATTCATTCCTGTCATTACATTGACAGGCTAAGTAACTTACATTTTATATAAATGTATGTTACTTGATTGTTGTAAGTGTTGCAAATGCTTACAGCTGAATCCTGGCTATGTTTGTATACTTTTTATTTAAAATTGTATACAATGTAACATTCTTCTTCTTTCACTGGGTAAGTAAATTAGTACTTAGGCAATACTGTGCTTCGGAACTTTGGCACTTTGACACTTCGGAACTTCGGCAACTTCAGCACTTCGGAACTTCGGTAAATTCGGAACTTCAGGACCTCGCTAATTCGGCACATCGGCTATTCGGACATTCGGAAGTACCCGAATGTCCGAATTGCCCGAAATTCGTCCAAATTCATATTCGGACCGAAACGAATTGCACATGTCTAGTACACAGTTTGAGAAATACAATATTTGCATTTGCCCATAACAACATACACCACCATAACTAAAACTCGGCTTATTGTATACGACCACAAATATAAATATATAAATAATTCATTAATTCTAAGTGTATTTTGTTATTAATAAATGTAATTAGTGTTGTTGCACTTAACATAAAAGAGGTTAATTATTGTTGAACAAACATATAACTCAAATTCAAGCTTTTGTTTTGGTTCAGAACTTGGACAATTGCCTCCATCCTTAACCCCTTAAGGACGGCGGGCATGCTATGCCGTCCTTGGAGACCCGGCTCTAAATGCTGGCGGGCGGCATAGCACGTCCATGCCATCCTTCCCACTTACCTGCTTGCCAGCGATCCCACGCGATGGGAGGACTTACCTGACATCCCAGGAAGTCCCTTGCTGCTGATCCGGCCCTCCTGGACCATGTGATCGCGAGGTACCTGCAAGGACCTCACGATCACATGGACGGAATAGCTGTCCATAGCCATGCCAGCAGGGGGAGTTCCTGGAATGACAGGTAGTCCCCCTGCTGCCTGTAAAAAGTTTTAAAACTGTGTAAAATAAAATAATATATATATACACTTTCACATACATACACATACACTGTCTAAGTGTATTTTAATATTAATATATATAATTATATATATATATATATATATATATATATTAATATCAAAATACACGTAGAATGATATTAATTAACTATATTTATATATATATACACAATATTATTTTTATATATATATATAATAAATAAATATATAAAAACTTTAAAAATTAAAAATACAAAAATAATACAAAAATAAATAATTTAAAAAAAATATATGTGTAATATTGTTCTAACTGTATTTTGATATTATTATTATATATATATATATATATATATTGATATCAAAACACACTTAGAATGAAATAAAATATATAACTATATATAATTTATTTACATAATTAAGTCATTTTATTAATTACAATTTGCGGGACCTGCTGATAACCAAGGCAGAAAGTCCAGAGAATTTAATTTTTTGTTTTGTTTTTTTGTTGTTTTTAGGATATTTATGAATGCATTATCTAGAAATATGAGAACACTTTCTGCATAATGTTTTTGTAAAGTGTGCTACAGGTAAGGTGAAACAAGAGAAACAGCCAACTAAACAAATGTTGTCCTATAAAAGGGAACTGGTAACACACAAATATATTGAAAACGTTCCACAACCTCTTTCTTGCCTGTAAACAAAATAAAAGTATATTTCAGTCAATTTCCAATTGTTCATAAACTCAACATAACTTCCCATGACAGACCACGTGTCTATCTATGTATGTGTCTACCTCCACCCACTAGGGGGAGATATTTCCTCTCTTTTGAAGAACCGTTAGTAAAGTTGGAGGACATCTTTAGTTTTGGCAGGGTTATTGCATTAATTTTATATTTTTTCTTTTAATCTCCACTGTACTCCTTCACGTGAATAATATGGTGTTATTAGATAAAACGTGTTATTAGGTAGCCATTAAAGGAGAAGTGATTCGTCCATCGGCACACATTTTATACAGCTACCCGAATCAAATATGGTGGCTGTCGGCTTCATTACGTTAACGTATGCTTTACGGCAAACCTAGTGTCGTGAGGGAGCGAGAGCCGAGGACGTCTGGAGCTCTGCAGGTGAAAATATGACCGATTTGTCCGACCTTTTTTCTAGATCACGTTTGCAAAAAAAATGTCTGGTTTCAATTTCTGTGTGGGAATGGTGGGTTGATGTGAATGCCAGGCTGCATTGTATCCTGAAATATGGAGGTCACTGGTGTAATGGAGGTAGAAAAGTCATGTGAGCTGTGTTCTATGTAAACCTAACATTGACCTGTCATAAAAAATGATATTAATGAAATGATATCCGCACTCAGGGAATTATTCACTAAACTGCGAACTGAAACACATTGAAATCACAAAAGTGTTCTTTATATATGTTTATACGCTTAACGCTTTAGTGTTCTTTTGCATACACATTCCTGCTGATACAGTTACTAACTCCCATGCATGCATTAAAGGACCCTATAGGCACCCAGACCACTTCAGCTCAATGAAGTGGTCTGGGTGCCTGGTCCAGCTAGGTTTAACCCCGCAGATGAAAACATAGCAGTTTCAGAGAAACTGTTATGTTTAGATTAGGATTAAACCAGCCTCTAGTGGCTGTCTCATTGTGAAAATCACAGTGAGAAAATGCTGACGTCCATAGGAAAGCATTGAGAAATGCTTTCCTATGGACTGATTGAATGCACGTGCGGCTCTTGAATCGCATGCGCATTCAGCGCTGATGTCGGAAGAGGGAGATTTCCCCAGCGCTGAAGAAAGGTAAGTGTTTAACCCCTTCCTCTCCCTTCAGCCCAGCAGGAGTAGGACCCTGAGGGTGGGGGGGACCTGAATACCCTATCGTGCCAGGAAAACGAGTTTGTTTTCCTGGCACTATAGTGGTCCTTTAAGACACTTGGATTGGTCTACCCTAGAGATGTGGGGCTAATAGCACTTAAGTGTTACCTGTGCAAGGTGAGTTGGCGGATGATGTGTATGATACTAGCCCTGAGAGCAGTCATCAGCACATTATCTTATTGGCTATTGAGCTATCCACTCAAGTACTTGTTGCACTTGGTTTGTTGCATAGAGCACCCTGAAAAACCACCGCGCTATGAGAGTGGATTAGAAATGAGTGATTTGTTAAAAATGACTGCGCATCTAAGGCAGCCTCCAAGAGCACTACATTAGGTAGCCCTTTTACATGCGCCGAACAAATCATTTGCCTGTCAGTCTATAGATAAACAATTTCATTAATTTTGATTTGACATAGGTTGATAGTCATTTGATTTGTTCTTCCCTGAAAGGAAGTTGTGCACAAATCTAGTTTACATTAAATTTGTCCAAGTTCGCTTACTCAACTTAGGCTGAGCTCACAGAGCAAAGTTCTACACTGTTGCAGAAAGTTTTAAGGGACACTTTACGTACTCTATTTAATATTATTGAATTGGTTATGCTGTTTGGAGACCCCCGGCCTATCTCTCTATTCAAAGTCAAACCATTTTCAGGTAGTTTAATGCTGAATCAGGGTTTCTAGCTGGACACAGCCCCGCCCAAGTATACCTAAGGCAGAGATTACACTCTTCGTTAGCCATACCAATTCATACTAGCAATGGGTGCCTGAGCCACTCTGATTACTACTGCCCTTTGCTGCTCAGGCTAATACTTCCTCCCTAACTTGAGCAGCACAGAGGCTGCTGCAAACTCTTGTATACCATTAAAGTTACACTTCACTTCCCACATATAAATAAATAAATAAATAAATATATATATATATATCACTGTTTAGAATATATACCCCAAATGAAGATATTCATGCGTGCATTCATTGTGAGTTTTCCAATTTACCATTTTTGCATGTGATTGTCCAATTGTCAAAACATCTCATGCCAAAGCATTAACAGTGCAACATCCTCCCTTTTCTCTCATGGCTGCTCAGTATTGTTGGCATTAGTAGTGATGAGGGAGATCCACCGGGAGGCCTTTAGCATTAGGTTAGTGAAACCAGGCTTTTTCTGAGTGACGCAATGTCAGTGAAAGCTTTCATCACTCCTCACATCCTGATTGACAACACTGGAAAGAAGTGAATGAGCACAAGCCTGCAAATGGAGTGGGAAAAGCTGTCTCAGGTATTGTCATGGTAAATCAGGACATTTGTACAATAACACCATCAAGTACAAGAGCACCTTGCTTCTACACAGCCAGGAGGGTACAAATTAGCATCTTTATAAATTGACAATTTTCTCTTTATATTAGCAATTTTTTTATAGAGTGGAAAAGAGGGGCTACTGTGTTTAACCCCTTAAGACCTTCAAGTACTCTTTAAAACCAATAAAAACTAAAGTAGTGGTTTGGTGAATAGATGCTGCTCTTTTTTTTTTTCTTACAGTATAAAACACAGTTGTTTTTAAGAAATTACAATCTTTACATTTGTCTGAAAAGGGAAGATATACAGTAGTGGAGGAGAAAAAATACAACAACAAGAGGACATTGTCCTAAATTCGAGGGACATAGATTTAAAACGAATTCCTTAAGATCTGAATTTGGTGTTAGTACCCACAACATGTTGATGTCAAATATGGCTAATGCTTCTCATAGAGAAGTGTTGGATTGGCAGATTGTGGTCATTGCCACACATGTGACTGGCACTCCTAGCTTCTCTATGAGAACCATCTGACTGGACCAAAGATAATTAGCATTGTCTATCAAAGTCATTTCTGTTGAAGGTTCCTTCTCTTTCTTTGCTGCCTCTTCACAGGTAAGTTTCTTTGCTACTGTCACGTATTCATCCGCTACCAGGCGCTATGCCACCTAAGTGAGCAGTCTATGCTCTGTCACTTCAGGAGAGTAGAGTAATGGAGGAATATATTAAGGATTCATTGAATAAAGGCCATATACGAAAATCATCCTTGCCTGCTGGTGCAGGATTCTTTTTTGTATCTAAAAAGGATGGTGAGTTGCGCCCATATATCGATTACAGGGCATTGAACAAAATTTACCATTAAGAACGCCTACCCCATTCCTCTTATTGCTGAATTATTTGACAGACTCCAGGGAGCTAAAGTGTTTACTAAGCTTGACCTTAGAAGCGCTTACAATTTAGTGAGAATCAAGGAAAATCACGAGTGGAAGACTGCATTTAATACCAGAAGTGGACACTATGAATAAATATCTAGTGATGCCATTCGGGTTGTGCAATGCTCCAGTGGTTTTCCAAGATTTCATTAACGATGTACTTAGGGATTGCATTTACTCGTTTGTCTTGGTCTTTCTGGATGATATCCTTATTTATTCTCCTGACATTCAGACTCACCACGGTCACGTTAGACAAGTTCTGCAGACCTTGTTAAACAATCAACTTTATTGTAAATTAGAAATATGAATCTTTGACCAATCTGAAGTACAGTTTTTGGAATATATCTCTGCCTCAGGGTTTCAGGTGGATCCTAAAAAGCTGGAATCGGTTCTACAATGGCCTTTACCCACTGGGTTGAAAGCCATTCAAAGGTTCATTGGTTTCGCCAATTATTACAGAAGATTTATAAAGGGATTTTCTTCAGTAATAACCCCCATCACCAATATGACACGAAAGGGGGCTAGTAGTACGATATGGTCTAAGGAGGCAATTGAAGCCTTTGAAACTCTCAAACAGCGATTTGCCTCCGCCGACCTATTGATACATCCTGACACCAGTAAGCCTTTCATACTGGAGGTTGATGCTTCAGAGAAAGGGGTATGGGCAATTCTCTCCCACAGGGAGAGCCAGGAAACTCCATTACATCCTTGTGGTTACTTTTCTAGAAAGTTGTCTCCTGCTGAGCACTATTACGATATTGGCAATAGAGAATTGTTGGCCATTATTCTAGCTCTCAAGGAGTGGCGACATCTTTGAGGTTTCCAAGGACCCCCTTTTGATCATTACTGATCACAAAAACCTGGCTTACATAGGTGATGCTAAGCGATTATCTTCTAGACAAGCTAGATGGTCTCTATTTCTTTCTCGCTTTAATTTTCTTATCACCTACAGACCTGGTTCTAAAAATGTCAAGGCCGACGCCTTGTCCAGGCAGTTTGATACTGAGGCTATACTAGAGCAAGAAACGTTCCCATATCATTCCCCCAGAATGTATCATTGCGTCCACTGTCCTTCATTGTCCTCTCCACTGCTTGGCTCCATCATGGAGGCTCAGTCTCAGGCGTCCTGTGGTAAACCTCAGGACAAACTGTTCGTTCCATTGGGGGAAAGGGTTAATATCATGAAGGTGTTTCACGACAATGTGTCTGCTGGTCACCCGGGTATTAATAAATCCACTTCTGCTATCATGAGGTCATTCTGGTGGGATTCCCTCAGGAAGGATGTTATGGAATATGTGCAGGCTTGTTCTGTTTGTGCGGTTTCCAAAGTGCCTCATAAACTCCCTTGTGGCTTGTTACAACCTCTTTCTATTCCTGAGGTCCAATGGTCCCACTTGTCCATGGACTTCATTGTTGAACTTCCCAGTTCTAATGGTTATACCACCATTCTCATGGTTGTGGACCGTTTTCTAAAATTACCATCATCTCAAGACCTGGTACTGATCTTTATACGTGAGATTGTCCATCTGCATGGTATTCCTCTCAATATTGTATCTGATGGAGGTTCTCAGTTTGTATCCCGATTTTGGAGGGCTTTTAATAAGCAATTGGGGATTGAATTGTCTTTTTCATCCTCTTACCACTCCCAGACTAATGGTACAGCTGAGAGGGCTAACCAGTCTTTGGAGTTATACTTGTGTTATTTTGTTAATAGCACTCAAGACAATTGGTCCGAATTATTACCATGGGCAGAGTTTGCTAGGAACAATGCTGACCATGATTCCTCTGGGCATAGTCAATTTTTTGTTAATAATGGCCGGCATCCTACTGTTCTACCGGCTATTTTTTCTGATACGGCTATTCCTGCTTTGGATGACCGTCTGGCTTCCATCAGTGATACCTGGGTTAAAGTTCAATCTGCTTTGGGTACTGCTGCTGACCGTTTCAAGCATTATGCTGATACACGTCGAGGTGCCAAGTGAGTGAGAGGGTTTGGTTATCTTCTCTTAACATCAGGCTCAAAGTCCCTAGCATGAAGTTTGATCCTAGGTTCCTTGGACCTTTTCGTGTCCTTCGTAGGAGCAATCCTGTTGCGTACTCTCTGGCCCTTCCGGCCTCCTTGAAAATTCCTAATACCTTTCATGTGTCCTTGCTCAAACCTCTTGTTTGCAATAAATATACTGTCTCAAGTGTCCCTCCTCCTCCCTTAGTTATTTCTGGACAGGAAGAGTATGAGGACTTCACCATAATTGATTCCAGGTTTTTTCGGGGCACTTTACAGTACTTGATGGATTGGAAAGGTTATGGACCAGCCGATCGTTCTTGGGTTCCGGCATCTGATATACATGCTGGCTGCAAGATTCGCTATTTTCATGCCAAATTTCCTCTCAAGCCTGGTCCTGCCCGCCTGGTTGGCGTTCTTCAGGTGGGGGGTAATGTCACGTGTTCATCCGCTTATAAAAATGTGGTTAATGGCATTTACTGTCCACACATGAAAAGTTGTGCCGAGCTGCAACCAAATCCACAGAAGGGTTAGTGCTGAGCAGCAATTATGCAAATGGAACCTGGTAACTGCCTTTGGGGTCAAAGGCCGGTAACATCCTATCAGATCTAGAGGAGGGGTATTTAGGCCCAGTTCTCATCCTGCTCAGTGCCCTGTCGTGGTTGTCCGAGAGCGCGTTATTGATTCTGGTAATTCTGGTTATTTGACTTTGGCATTGTTTTTGACTTCCCTGTTTTCTGGCATCCCTGACTTCTGGCTTTTCCTTATCGTTGGGTCTCTTTCTGTTTCCCTTGACCTCGGCTATTCCTGACTATTCTTTGGTACGTTAGTCCAGCCATTCTAAGGTCCGGTATACGTTACCTATCAGTCCTCTGTGTTACACAATTCTACGTGCTGGATCATTCTGTAATCCTGACAGCTACACAGCATGTTATCCCATAATAAAATCTTGCCACTTATTGGAATTCATTTCGGATCCTCCATACACCAAAAACTTGTGATGCACAAAAGATGCCTGTTTCCTATTACTGTTGCTAGTGACGTCTGTGGGAATTGCCTTTCGTCAATTTCCCACACAGAATTTCAATAAAATTCCAACACAGTAACTAGGAGTATTTCACATAGGTTTGTCTTAATTAAATACTCAAGTATTATATTGTGGTGACCTACTGTAGGGGTGAAAGTTAGAGGAGGAATGTTCCACAGATATAAGTTATGCCATTATCTCTGTTTACATGATTTTGTTTGCTGCAATTATTTAGTAAATTGATATTAAGCAGAGTGCTGTCTTTAATAAAATTACTCTTTTAAGTAACGGTTAAGAAAATGTAGAAATTTAAGTAAAACCTGAAAATGCAACTTAATTGGTGAAGTGTGCGTACACGAGCACGTATGTGTGTGTATATGTATATATTGTATTGATTATATTTAGTGATATGAGGGATATGAAACATTTTTGATGTTTGCACCTGAATAATGTCACAGTATACTGCTAGCAGTTAATGGAACAAGGAACCACAATATCTCAGAATGTATGAGTATGGGCTGCCAAGATCATTCATCCATATGAAATATATCCCCCTCCTTTCTTCCACTAGCCATGCCGTTTATTGATGTACAAGGCAAGCTGGGGATCGATGTAGACAAGTGGCTCTTGCTTCAGAGTGGAAAACAGCCATACCGTCAAGCTGCAAGGTGCCACGCCTTTGAAAAGGAGTGGGTGGAATGTTCCAGTGGCATTGGGCAGATCCGGGCACGTAAGGAGTGCAAGCTGGAATATGAAGATTTCAATGAGTGTATGCACAGGACCAAAACGGTGAGAGTGATATTTTAATAGAGAACACCAGGGGATGATCTATGCTTAGGTTATGTGTGTGAGGATCTAGGAATTTATTTGCAGTGCATTTAATATTTTTAAAAAGTGTAATGCATTCTGCACATGCATCCGTGATACTCATGATTATTTTTTTTTATACCACAGTTTATGCGATTGGAAGCAGTTCAAAATCAAAAGAAAAAGCTGGAGAAGGAAGGAAAATACAAGGCACCAGATCGCAGCAAAGAAGAAAACCAACCATAACCTTAAGACTGATAAAGGCATAATTGCTGGCATATTTACAAACTCCACTTTACATTATTAAAATGTTCCATGCCATGACGTTTGGTGTTCTTCCTTTACTATTCTCCTGAAATGCCTTGTTTTATTGAGGGGGTCTGATTTAAAATCTTGGGTTTATTCTGTTCTTTATGAGTCAAGGATGTGCTGTTACAACAAGGGTCAGAAGAGACCTATTTTTATACAAATTTCTATTTATTAGAGGCCATATATAAAACTGGAAATGATCATATTCACAACCATTGCAGACCCACAAAACTAATATTATGTGGTGAGCCAGCACCAGCAAACGGGAATAAAGGTAAGATTTTACTATATTTAGGGGGGCCAGGGGAGCTTGATAGTGTTTTTAACACAATACATTTTTTTTGTGTCCTGACCATATAGGATTCCTTTAATGTTTACTTTTTTTTTTTCTTCAACTAAATCATGTCTTAATGGGTAATTCACTAAGCACACTATTTTGTCCAGATGGGCAAAGTCCAGAAAAAATTGCTGATGGCAATTCTCATATTTACTAAAGCCAAACCTGGCTGGATTTTTGCCAGTTGGCCAGATGCATTTGTTGTCTGGTTGAAATGCAGTGCTTTTTGCATCCTAACCCCCACACAAAGTATAGGATTTGTAATATGTGCAAAGCACTTATTTCACAATGCATAGAGACTGAATGCATACAGCAAGATGCATGTTCGTATATTATCGTTTGCTTGCTTGTTGCAAGGTGTCCAATAACGTTTTAAACCTGCCATGTCGGGAGTGTGGACATATTTATGAAACTAATTGCTGCCCCTTTTGTTAGTAATGCCCCATCCCATGAGAATATCCTCCCCCCACCCATGGGCAATGGGTGCAAGCTATTTAATATTCAATGGGGTTGAACATGCTATTGTGTACATGTGCATCAAGTGGCGAAGGTATTAAAAGTGATAAGGAGTGGACATGCAATTTTCCACCTCCCCTCCCCCCAAAGTTACAGCCAATTGCTCACTGCACCTGATGGCTAGGATTCCCCAAGCCCCTAGCAACCACCACCACATAAAATGAATTACTACAGCACTGCTCACCCTATTAATAGTGAGGGAATATTTTGTTTTTTGTTTTTAAAGGACCAAATCACACAAAAACATGATTAGGGGGAGGGGGGAAGCGACTGAACTCCAGTAGGGTGTCCCATTCCCCTGCCACTGTTTTTTAATATTTAAAAAGTGATCTGTCTACCCCCAGTTATTTAGATTGAAGCCCCACCTGATCCCCTTGGGATGGTCCTTTCTAGCAACTGGGCAGCAATGGCTGTACAGTTGCTAGTTTTTAATTACTATGAGCTGCTGCAGTCTATGGTTTAGTAGATATGCCCCACTCGTAGCATGGCATTGATGCCAATAAGCTTTTTTATAATTTCACAACTTTTTTAATGTGGTGGCTGGCTAGCCACCACTTGGTTATCACTGTCAAGGTTTTTGTTTTTTTTAACTATTTGCTCATTGGCTGCTACCCTGGGAAATAGTATGAATATTTTAAATCCAGGCCTGGGTTTGAAGCGTCCATGCACGATGCCCCAGAGTAGCCCAATGGCCACATGGCATAAACCAGAGGGTTAAAAAGAATAGTCTACTATAAAGGATGATGTAGTAACCAGACAAAAACATAATGGGTCGACATAAATGTTAATTCGTTAGCGAGGGCCAACCTCGCGGTAGCACCATTAACCAGGATCAAAGCTCTCCGCTCCGACCCCCAAGGTTTCCCTTATAGGAGCCTAGCCATACTTCTGGCATTATTGTTCACATTTATGTATGAGTTGTATTTTGTTATGTAACCTGTTTTTTCACTGTTATGACACCCTACCTACCCTCTACCCCACATACGGGCCTAGTGGGTGGCCCAACCAAACCATACATCAACTACGGTAATGCATCAGAAGCGTTCCCAAAACCGGAGCTGGACTCCAAAATGGGTCGCAAGATAAGTACACCGAGGGGCTCACAGAGAGGGATCTGCCTGGCTCGTCAAAGCTGGGGATGGTAATGCCCTCAAATAGAACAACATCCACTGGAAATACACAGACACTTCCCATATATGACACCATAAGGTTCTATAGCCACCCAACCATACAATTAACCCCTTAAGGACCAAACATCTGGAATAAAAAGGAATCATGACATGTCACACATGTCATGTGTCTTTAAGGGGTTAAAGGAACAAATATCACGAATACGCCAACAACTATGCCAGCATGCGCTTTATAAAGTAGGATACAACTTAAGAAAACTAAAGGCGACCCACTACTCCCAAGGAAATAGAGCAGGTAGACTATTGGATTCAAAGCTTAAAAACCAACAGCAGGCACAGAAGATAGCGTATTTAAATACTAGGTAAGGGGGGAAGATTATGACGCCCATTGCCATTAGCAATGAGTTCGCACATTACTATTCAGACTTATACAACCTTAAACATGACCCGACCACACACACTCCATCAGACACAGAGATATCAACTTTTCTAGATAAAATCGCAATTCCCACCCTGACGGCCCAACAGCAAGAAACACTGGCTAGGCCAATTAGCCCGGAGGAGGTTAAAGACACGATTGAGACCCTGCCGAGAGGCAAAGCCCCGGGCCCAGACGGCTTTGCCAACTCCTACTACCATACATTTAAGGAGGTTCTGGCACCCCACCAGGCTGAAGTAGGATACAACTTAAGAAAACTAAAGGCGACCCACTACTCCCACGGAAATAGAGCAGGTAGACTATTGGCGTTGAGGCTTAAAAAACAACAGCAGGCACAGAAGTTTGCGTATTTAAATACTAGGGCAGGGGGGAAGGTTATGACGCCCATTGACATTAGCAATGAGTTATCACATTACTATTCAGACTTATACAACCTTAACCCCTTAAGGACACAACTCCAGAAATAAAAGGGAATCATGACGGAGTATTTCCGTCATGTGTCCTTAAGGGGTTAAACATGACCTGACCACACACACTCCATCAGAAACAGAGATATCAACTTTTCTAGATAAAAATAGCAGTCAGTAAAAAAGGGGGATAAAACATTTTTTAGATACATAAATGAGAAAAGTAAAACAAGGATTAGTTAGATTAAAAACAAAAGAAGGAAGGTATGTAGAAGAGGATAAAGGTCTAGCTGACTGCCTCAATGAATATTTTTGTTCTGTATTTACAGATGAAAATGAAGGAAAAGGACCTCAGTTGAGAAAAAGGATAAATGAGTCATTTATTACACGTGAGTTTACAGAGGAAGAGGTTCTATTTCAACTGTCAAAAGTAAAGACAAATAAGTCAATGGGACCTGATGGAATACACCCAAAGCTATTAAAAGAGCTTAGTGGTGTACTAGCAAAACCATTAACAGATTTATTTAACCAATCATTGTTAACAGGAGTAGTCCCAGAAGATTGGAAGTTAGCGAATGTTGTGCCCATTTACAAGAAAGGTAATAGGGAGGAGTCGGGCAACTATAGGCCAGTAAGCCTTACTTCAGTAGTAGGGAAAGTGATGGAAACCATGTTAAAGGATAGGATTGATGAATATCTAAAAACACATGGATTTCAAGATCAGAGACAACATGGGTTTACTTCAGGGAGATCATGCCAAACTAATCTTATTGATTTTTTTGATTGGGTAACTAAAATTATAGATCAGGGTGGTGCAGTAGACATTGCTTACCTAGATTTCAGTAAGGCTTTTGACACTGTTGCACATAGAAGGCTTATCAATAAACTGCAATCTTTAAGTTTGGATTCAAATATTGTTGAATGGGTAAGGCAGTGGCTGAGTGACAGGCAACAGAGGGTTGTAGTTAATGGAATATATTCAAAGCTTGGACTTGTCACCAGTGGGGTACCTCAGGGATCTGTACTTGGACCCATTCTCTTTAATATTTTTATTAGTGATATTGCAGAAGGTCTTGATGGTAAGGTATGTCTTTTTACTGATGATACTAAGATATGTAACAGGGTTGATGTTCCAGGAGGGATAAGCCAAATAAAAAATGATTTAGGTAAACTAGAAAAATGGTCAGAATTGTGGCAACTGACAATGTGGATAAGTGCAAGATAATGCATCTTGGACGTAAAAACCCAAGGGCAGAGTACAGAATATTTGATAGTGAGAGGGTAGTGGATGCATGGAATAGCCTTCCATCTGAAGTGGTAGAGGTTAACACAGTAAAGGAGTTTAAGCATGCGTGGGATAGGCATAAGGCTATCCTAACTATAAGATAAGAATAGGGACTAATGAAAGTATTTAGAAAATTGGGCAGACTAGATGGGCCGAATGGTTCTTATCTGCCGTCACATTCTATGTTTCTATGCAATCCCCACCCTGACGGCCCAACAGCAAGAAACACTGGCTAGGCCAATTACCCCAGAGGAGGTTAGAGACACGATTGAGACCCTGCCGAGAAGCAAAGCCCCGGGCCCAGACGGCTTTGCCAACTCCTACTACCATACATTTAGGGAGGTTCTGGTGCCCCACCTGGCTGAAGTAGTTAACGAAGCCGTACGCAGGTGGCCCATATTATCACCCTCCCCAAACCAGGCAAACAACCAACGTGCCCGAAAAACTTCAGACCAATATCGCTTCTTAATACGGACACTAAACTGCTCGCCAAACTAAGACTGGGACCTATACTACCCCACATTATACATCAGGTGGGGTTCGAGAAGGGACGACAGGTGGCAGACAACACTAGAAAAGTCCTTAGCCTCATGCATAGCCTCAGGGCATCACAATCAGGGGGGGTTATTACTCTCCCTAGACGCGGAAAAGGCCTTTGACTGACTGGGATGGGGGTTCTTGGAGGCAGTCCTACACAAATTCGGACTCCCGGGGGGCTTCATCTCAGCGGTCAGGGCCCTCTATTCAGCGCCAACGGCCAAGGTTCTGAACTCAGGATTCGTATCTGACAAACTCAAAATACCTAACGGGACTAGACAGGGCTGACCGCTGTCGCCTCTGCTGTATGTGTTGGTGCTGGAGCCCCTGGCGTCAGCGATCAGAGCACACCCATCCATTCATGGAATGCAGGTGGGAGACGGGGTTTATACCCTAAACCTCTTTGCAGATGACATACTCCTAACCCTGACGCAACCACAAATTTCTTTACCTAACCTTCTAACGTGCACACAGGATTATAATAGGGTA